CCCCCTTCAAAAAAATCCATGCACACATTACAGTTAACCGTTTACCAAAGAAGCATTACAGTAATGTATTATATATACCTTTTTTCTTCTTCTTTTTTAAATAGAGGGTTTTACGGCGCTCGCAACTGCATAAGTTCATATGAGCTCCAATATATTTTATATATACATGTACATTTATTATGCCTTACTTTTACTCTTCCGTTAAGACGTGGACGTGGACAGGTCGAGGTATTGCCAGTATTGGGGCCAGTATCAAAAGATGCAAGCAATAAAAAGCTCAAGTGGTCAGACTGGATCGATCAGAAAGGCAAGTAAGTGGGACTAAGGCTTATCGGTCGTGGCTGGTGGAGCTCGTCGCTTTTGGCTTTCCTGCCTGCACTGTTTCATGTCAGTGAACTGCACATAATGCAGCTCGTCACTCATAATCTCACAATGCTGGACACATACCAAGAGAAAACAAGGGCCCGCAGCGACAAGACGGAATATCATGGCTGTTCTCTATTTCATGAGTCTGCTGGGTGTGTGTTTTGCGTAGTTCCTACACAGTCTCACACACTATTGTATTCATTAGTTTCAGTAAGCTGGTATTGAAATTCATGTTTACAGAACAGCTTTTTTTCAAAGTTGTGATGTGGAACAAAGAAAATTTACTATTGAAAGTTGAAAAGAAAAGAAAACTACTGCTACAAATCTTTGATTACCGTGGAGTGTAACAATTAACAATGTTTAAGGATTGCCGTCTGCGCAAGAACTTGTCCTATTCGGTTTTGTGTCATTCGTGGAGTGGACGATTCTTCAGACTGCCGCCAGGAGTCCTCCCCAAACTAACAACAACGCAAACAATCTGAGCTTGGGCTAGACTTTCATAAACCTCTACCCCGAATAACCAGAAGGTCATCAGTTTCCCTAAGCTGATCGATAGAAATGTAAATATTTAGCTCGAAGGTATTATATCTGCTCACTTTGACTATGTAACCACAGTATAGTAGTAGGCTTTAAAACAAATCTTGTACTCAAATCCACTGGTACGCGTTGAAAAGTGTGCGAATAACTAGATCTATAATAACCATCTGACAAAAACGTGCCCCGCTGTGAGTGTGATTCTTCATTGACGGATTGCTACCGCGACACTCATTAATCATAGCGACATTTCGGAGTCTCACTTGTCGAATCTAATAATTGGTCTAACTAACAATTAATGTTTAACCATTTTTTCTCTTCAGATTGCTAAGTATGGGTTACATAAATTAAAACAAAGCTGTGCCTGATCCTCTTGGTCTCTGGGGTCTGGCCACCACAAGGACTTGTCAGGCCAGCTCAAAGCTCTAACTAGTCTATGACCGCATATTTACTAGACGAGTCCCTCCCACAAACTCTGTAACCATGTCTGCGCGATCATCAACGGAGAGGCCCCCAAAACACCCAGGACCTACGGGTTTGTCTCTGTCCAAGCACGCCAGCGGGAGCTATGTGCAGAGATTCAAGATTCAGAAGGAGCGTATCAAAACTCTCCACAGTAACTCGGACGACGAGTCACAAACGAAAAACTCGAGAGTTATCGACAAGTTGTTACCAAAGGTAGGTCACCGAACGCTTTTGTTCTAAACGGCGGCTTAAGATTCTTTCTTTCTTTCTTCCTAGGCGTTGTTCGTCCATTGCAGGATGTAGCCCTCCAACGACGACTTCAACTCTCTTGTTTTATTAATTAATACAGCTGTTTTTCGGTGCAAGTTTTACCAGAGGGTAATTCAATAGTCTCGATCGCAAAGTGAGGGGGGATTTGATTGTCATGCAACAGCAAGTAGACGGAACACTAAAATGCCACTTATATTAAACATGTGTATTGGATTCATGCGTCCTTCGTGAGCTAGCGTGGGATATTCTGTACAAAAGCCCCAGGGATAATAATATAACAGTGTATGAAAGCATGGTACACATCAATGGTGTTCCCTCCGGGGTGTATGAGCAATTCTAGTTATACACGTGGTTGGTTTTCTTCGGTTGCTTTTGCCATGTCATAGGATATGTATCGTCCAAAGAAAGGAAACGAAATTATCGTAAATCAATCGGAGGCACAAAAGCATTTTAAGTGATTGTGAATGTACGGGTGCATCTGTGTGTGTGTGGCCATGAGTGCATGGGTATGCATACGCGACGCGTGATTGTGAGTGCATGGATGTATCATGTATCTGTGTGTGATTGCGAGTGTATGGATGTATCTGTGTATGGTTGTGAGGGCATGTATGTACCCTGTATCTGTATGTGATTGTGAGTGTATGTATGTATCTGTGTATGATTGTGAGGGTATAGGGATATGTATCCTGTATCTGTGTGTGATTGTGAGTGTATGTATGTATCTGTGTATGATTGTGAGGGTATAGGGATATGTATCCTGTATCTGTGTGTGATTGTGAGTGTATGTATGTATCTGTGTATGATTGTGAGGGTAT